GGGTATTCTTGTTCATAAGGGTTACAAATTACTCAAGTTGGAAACTTTCAACTTCTTTGTCAATAGAGATGTTCAGTTCATTGAGGATTTCTTTCCTTTCCAAAACCACAATGTTGTACAGTTCCTGTTTTTCCAGATACATTCATCACCACTTTCTTATTTCACCCAGTCTTTTCCATCACCTTCTGCATCATAGACCATTCACCTCCACCTCCTTCTCATATAATACTTCTCCTTCAACCTACCTGCTCAAACTATTCCTCTCTCAGTTCCTATTTCTACTGATGTCAGAAGGTCTCAAAGACATCATAAGCCACCCATTTGGCTTCAAGATTATATTACTCCTCTGCACATTATTCCATTTCCAAATTGTTTGCTATTCCACTCCCCTCCTTATCAATGCTTCTGTCTCATTTCTCAAATTCCAGAAACAACACTTTTCATGAGGCTTCTACAGACCTCAATTGCTGAATGAAAACAGAAATAGTAGCTTTGGAGGCCAACCAAACTTGGACTCTAATGCACTTCCACCTGGCAAACACCCCATCGGCTGCAAATGGGTTACAAAGTCAAGTATAACTCTGATGGTGTCTAGAGAGGTATAAAGCCAGACTTGTGGCTAAAGGATACAACCAGCAAGCTGGTATTGATTACACCAAAACTTTTTCCCCAGTTGTCAAAATGGTCACTGCATATCAGTTTTAGCCTTGGCTTTCATTCATGCTTGGCCTCTCTTTCAAATGGATGTGTTTAATGCTTTTTTACAAGAAGATTTATCTGAAGAAGTGTACATGTCTATGCCTCCAGGATTTGGCAATCAGGGGGAGACTCACATGGTTTGCAGATTGCTCAAATCCTTATATGGATTAAAGCAGGCCAGCAGACAATGGAACCTCAAACTCACTAATGCATTGATCACAAACGGTTATTCACAGAGCAAACATGATTACTCCTTGTTCACCAAAAGAGAAGGCAGCAACATTGTCATCTTGCTTGTATATGTAGATGACATTTTGCTCACTGGCAACAACTTGGAAATGATAGACCAGTTAAAGGGAATTCTTCAAAACAATTTCAAGATAAAAGATCTTGGTCACCTCAGATATTTTCTCGGTATAGAAATGGCTAGATCCTCTGAAGGCATTGCATTAAATCAAAGGAAGTATGTTCTTGAACTCATTTCAGAAGCTAGACTGTCTGGTGCAAAGCCTGCGGATACTCCTCTTGAGCAGAATTTAAAACTTACCACACATGAGTTTGATCAGAAATTTAATCCAGAAGCTAGAGATGCATTATTAGAAGATCCTAGTATTTTCAGGAGAATGATTGGCAGGTTGATGTATTTAATTGTGACCAGGCCAGATATTGCATTTGCTATTCAGACATTAAGCCAGCATATGCAATCTCCTAAAGAGTCACATTTGGAGGCAACTTTAAGAGTGATCAGATATGTAAAGAAAGAACCAGCTCTAGGATTGTTTATGTCCTCAAAAAGTCCAATGGAGTTGGTAGCATTTTGCAACTCAGATTGGGCCTCCTGTGCTGTTAGCAGAAAATCAGTCTCAGGATATTATGTTAAGCTGGGAGACTCTCTTCTATCTTGGAAAACCAAGAAACAAAATACAATAGCTAGGTCTTCTGCAGAAGCCAAATACAGGAGTATGGCTACAGCAATGGCAGAATTAACTTGGTTAATCGGATTGCTGGAAGAAATTAACATGAAAGATATAACTCCAGCTTTGTTACATTGTGACAATAAGCCTGCCTTACAGATTGCAGTAAATCCTATGTTTCATGAGAGAACAAAACATATAGACATTTATTGTCATTTCATAAGGGAGAAGATTCAGAGTGGAATGATAACTACAAAATTTGTTCCTACTGGAGAGCAATTGGCAGATATCATGACCAAAGGTTTAGGCAGATTTCAACATGAAAAATTCATATCTGGGCTCAGTCTGAAGAACATACATAAAGTGCCAGCTTGAGGGGGAGTGTTGAGAATCAAGCTGGCAATATGAGGTGGCAACGGTTGTTATATTCAGTTAGTAAAATGAAAGTTAGTTAGTCGTTATAAATAGAAGTTAGTTAANAATTTGTGAACATTGCAATGTGAGAGGTCATAAGAAAGATAATTGCTACAGATTTATTGGTTATCCTGCCGATTTTAAGTTTATAAAGAAGAAATTTTCTAATCAGTCTTCTGCCAGCAATGTTACTTCTGTTACACAGCCAGACACTAATTCATCTTCCATTGAAAATCAAACTGCTTCAGTCTTCTCCAAAGAACAATATGCTAAGATACTGAAGTTGCTTCAAAAGGAACCTTCCATGACACCATCAACTAATGCCAATGTCAACATGGCATGTATCCACTCTTATTTTTCATCACTGCATCATGGAAACTACTGGATCCTTGATACAGGTGCTAGTCACCACATGACAGCATCCCTGGACAAACTAACAGATTTGATAGAGTCTACTTCTCCTTTTTCAGTCAGACTCCCTAATGGACATCACTCAACAGTTTCTCATATTGGTTCTCATGTGATTGGTCCTAATCAAAGGCTAACTAATGTGTTATTTGTGCTTGATTTCAAATTCAACTTAATCTCTACAGCAAAACTTACCAGAGACTTAAAGTGTTTTGTTTCTTTTTATCCTGATTTCTGCATATTCCAAGACCTCTCAAGTGGCAAAGTGTTGGGGATTGGTAGAGAAGCTGAAGGACTTTACTTCTTCATGCCTTGTCCTGTTCCAGCAGCTCATCATTCTGTTTTGCAAAAACCATTGGGTACCTCTTGTTTAGTTTCTGTAAATTTTTGGCATAAACGACTTGGACATGTACCTCATGTCAAATTGAAACAATTTTCTGAAATAAAGTCTGCTGTTTCTGATGAAAATATGCATTGTGATATTTGTCCACTTGCAAAGCATGTTAGACATCTTTTTCCTCTCATCACCAACAGATCATCTGCTTGTTTTCATCTATTACATATGGATGTTTGGGGCCCTTATCACACCCCCACACATGATCAGCATAAGTTCTTCCTTACCATTGTTGATGATCATTCTCGAATTACTTGAATTTATCTCATGAAATACAAACATGAAGTCATTATACATATCAAGAATTTTATCACCCTCATCAAAAATCAGTTCTCAGCTTGTATTAAACACATTCGTACTGATAATGGACTTAAGTTCCTCAACTCCCAATGTACAACTTTATTCACCTTTCTTGGCATTATACATCAAAGAACCTGTGTCCACACTCCACAACAAAATGGAGTAGTGGAAAGGAAGCACAAACACCTTCTTACAATAGCTAGAGCTTTGAGATTTCAGGCCTTTATTCCCATTCAATACTGGGGAGATTGTATCCTTACTGCATGCTATTTGATCAACAGATTCCCTACTGATGTTCTTCATGGCCGATCACCTTATGAAATCCTGCATGGTTCTCCTTCAATTATTGCACATCTCAGGGTGTTTGGTTGTCTTGCCTATGCTTCTAATGTGGCTTCTAAAGATAAGTTTGGATTCAAAGCTGTGCCTGTAGTTTTCATGGGGTATTCTTCTGTTCACAAAGGTTACAAAATACTCAATTTGGAAACTTTCAGCTTCTTTATCAATAGAGATGTTCAATTCATTGAGGATTTCTTTCCTTTTCAACACCACAATGCTGTACATGTTCCTGTTTTTCCAACTGATCCATTCATCACTACTTCTCTTGATATTCTGCCTCAGTCTTTTCCATCACCTTCTGCATCATCAGACCATTTACCTCCATCTCCTTCTCATATTAATAATTCTCCATCAACCTCACCTGCTCAAACTATTCCTCTCTCAGTTCCTATTTCTACTGATGTCAGAAGGTCTCAAAGACATCATAGACCACCCATTTGGCTTCAAGATTATATTACTCCCTCTGCACATTATTCCATTTCCAAATATGTTTGCTATTCCCATCTCTCCCCTCCTTATCAATGCTTCCTGTCTTCCATTTCTCAAATTCCAGAACCAACATCTTTTCATGAGGCTTCTACAGACCCCAATTGGATTGCTACAATGAAAACAGAAATAGTAGCTTTGGAGGCCAACCAAACTTGGACTCTAATGCCACTTCCACCTGGCAAACACCTATCGGCTGCAAATGGGTTTACAAAGTCAAGTATGACTCTAATGGCAGTTTAGAGAGGTATAAAGCCAGGCTTGTGGCTAAAGGATACAATCAGCAAGCTGATATTGATTACACCGAAACTTTTTCCCCAGTTGCCAAAATGGTCACTGTCAGATCAGTTTTAGCCTTGGCTTCCATTCATGCTTGGCCTCTCTTTCAAATGGATGTGTTTAATGCTTTTTTACAGGGAGATTTATCTGAAGAAGTATACATGTCTATGCCTCCAGGATTTGGCAATCAGGGGGAGACTCACATGGTTTGCAGATTGCTTAAATCCTTATATGGATTAAAGCAGGCCAGCAGACAATGGAACCTCAAACTCACTAATGCATTGATCACAAACGGTTATTCACAGAGCAAACATGATTACTCCTTGTTCACCAAAAGAGAGGGTAGTAACATTGTCATCTTGCTTGTATATGTAGATGACATTTTGCTCACTGGCAACAGCTTGGAAATGATAGACCAGTTAAAGGGAATTCTTCAAAACAATTTCAAGATAAAAGATCTTGGTCACCTCAGATATTTTCTTGGTATAGAAGTGGCCAGATCCTCTGAAGGCATTGCATTAAATCAAAGGAAGTATGCCCTTGAACTCATTTCAGAAGCTGGACTGTCTGGTGCAAAGCCTGTGGATACTCCTCTTGAGCAGAATTTAAAACTTACCACACATGAGTTTGATCAGAAATTTAATCCAGAAGCTAGAGATGCATTATTAGAAGATCCTAGTATTTTCAGGAGAATGATTGGCAGGTTAATGTATTTAACTGTGACCAGGCCAGATATTGCATTTGCTGTTCAGACATTAAGCTAGCATATGCAATCTCCTAAGGAGTCACATTTGGAGGCAGCTTTAAGAGTGATTAGATATGTAAAGAAAGAACCAGCTCTAGGATTGTTTATGTCCTCAAAAAGTCCAATGGAGTTGGTAGCGTTTTGCGACTCAGATTGGGCCTCCTATGCTGTTAGCAGAAAATCAGTTTCGGGATATTGTGCTAAGCTGGGAGACTCTCTTCTATCTTGGAAAACCAAGAAACAAAATACAATAGCTAGGTCTTCTACAGAAGCCGAATACAGGAGTATGGCTACAGCTGTGGCAGAATTAACTTGGTTAATCGGATTCTTCTCTCATCTTTCTTTCTTCAACTCAGTCAAATTTTACTGGACGGATACCTTTGATTGAGGCGGCTCGACATGGCCAAAAGAAGATGATTACATATTTATTGCAATTCAGTGGTAAGTATTTGGCCTTTGTTACCGGAGCACTGATTCAATATGGTTCTGGTGTTTCTTTCATAAATTCGCTTATAACTGCTGGATTTTATGGTGATTTATCTCTTTCTCTTACCATTAGTACTAGTACTACTAAACGAGCAGACATTAATGAGATAATTAAATCTGAGTTTCATGTACTATATAGTCCTTCACTAACATGGTGGTCACATTTTTTCTTAAAATTCAGGTCACGTTTATTCGGGAATGTCCACATTTATCAGCCCTGGTTTCATTTTTTTTTATGGCGAGTAATCGTTAAAAAACAAAATTTGAGTTAAAAAATAATTGTACATAAAAAAACTAGTGGTAATGAACAGAATTCGGATTTAAAAGAATTTCAACATTAACATTTACAGCCACTAAGTATATATCAAAACATATACTTTTTTATGCATCCAAAGCATGGCCAATTAAAAATTTTGGTAGTGCAGTTTTCATTATTTTACTTCAATAACTTATAGTTTCAACCAATTTTTTCATTTTGAAATTTTAAATTAACCATAAATTCATGTGCATCCTTATGTCTCAGACTTGACACTAGAACTGCTTGAGAAATATGAAGGTCGTTTAGCTACAAAGAAGTTGTCTTCTGGTGAGTCTCTTTTGAGAGCAATAGCAGGAAAGCAATCTGCATTTGCTAGTGGAAGACGAAAAAGGCTTGCCAGTGGAAGACGAAAAAAGCTAAAGTTTTGGCAATACCTTAACCTTTTTAAGCGTGAGTATAAGCTTCTCAGATAATTACTAATCTTCAATCATCCATCTCATGAAGATCCTTGTTATTGTTATTATTATTTCTCTATTTCTGCATTTTACTTAATAAAAAATTGCTCTTCCCGCATCATGTATTAATAAGCTCTATTCTTTGAGTTGTATTATACGAAAGAAGACATTTAAAATGTTTTCACATAAACTCAATTTTAGAGTTTAACTGTAAACTATTAATAAGCCCTATTCTTCAAGTACTATATTATTAATATAATATAGTACATGTAAATAGATATAAGAATGGTACATTTGTAGTTATGTACAAGAGGGATACTAGGTTTGCTACATATAATGGTACATACGAATTTATCTATAACTATACAACATCGATCTTGGGTTTAAAATGTTAGTTTGACTAAAGGTTGCAAAAAACCTTGAGGCAACCATCGTTCTTTTGGCTTAACCAAATCCCACTTTAAATTCTTAGTTTTAGAAATAGTCACAAGCAGTTTATTATGTAACGCATTTAATTGACGTTCGTTTCAATAATCAGTTAATTATTTTGCCATACGTCAGACCAAATACTTCATAATTCTTTTTAGGTAAGAAACTCTAGGATGTTTTCTTTTACTTTTCAATATTTTTACTTAGTTACGTAGCCAGTTTAATTTGCAGTTCGGAGTCATTTAAGGGAAGTAAGAGAGAAAAAGTTGAAGCATGACAATGCACTTAAACTTGTCAAACACTTGTGTGAGGAAATTACAAAGAATCTAGACCATGAACAAGCTTCCTCAATTTTGGAACCACCGCTCCTTTTAGCAGCAGAATTGGGGATTTGTGAAGTTGTGGAAGAGATTATAAAGTCATTTCCTGATGCAATCTGGTTTACAAATGATGAGAAACAAAATGTATTCCAGTTGGCAGTCATGAATCGTCAAGAGGAAGTATTTAACCTCATATTTCGAATAAGTGATCACAAAAATTTGTTGTTGATGTCTCATGATGATAAAGAAAACAACATCTTGCACCTAGCTGGAAGATTGGCACCCTTAAATCAACTAAACCTTGTTCCTGGTGCAGCTTTGCAGATGCAACGTGAGTTACGTTGGTTTAAGGTAAGACTGATTTAAAATTAATGCTATATATTTTAAATTTCTTTCCAATACAATTCTTGTTTCCGCTAGGTTTAAATAATAATAATTAAAAAATGCATGAATTATTACCCTCCGAGGTACTAATTTTTGTACACTTTAGCAATGATTGGCTGATGATTGATGTCAACTAATTAGTACAATAAAAAATATATCTTACACATAGGTTTAATAAGCCACCTCATATGAAACTTGAATGTTAGCTGATGGTTGACGTCAACAAATTAGCATTATAAAAAATATATACCTTCCACTTAGGCTCAGTAGATCCCTTCATATAAAACTTGCATTTTTATTCTTTCGAAAGTAAGTTGAAGTTGCAAAGGTGGCTCCGCATTTTTTTTTTTAAATAAGTTAAGTTGTAATAAAGTGAAATTTGACATTTGATTATGATACTATGATATTTGGGTTTGGACGCACACGCTCATATATATATATAATTTAACTTATAATACTTGGGAATCAAATGGTTCTTTTCTAAGGAACAATAATCGCAAATAATTAAGCACTTATTTATTTACTATTATATTTTTTTATTGCTTAACAACAAAAATTAAACAATATAAGTTCATGACTCAAATAATCTTTCTAAAGAAATTTGAACTTATTAATTACATATAATGTTGTCCATCTAGTACAGGAAGTACAGAAAATTGTTCAGCCTGACTACAAAACAGATCTAAACTTTGAAAATGAAACACCTGCAGTAGTGTTTACTAAGGAACATGAAAAACTCGTTAAAGAAGGTGAGGAATGGATGAAAGGTACAGCAACCTCATGCTCAGTAGCAGCAGCAATCATTGCCACAGTAGTTTTTGCAGCATCAATCACTGTACCTGGTGATTATAATGATAATGGTCAACCAAATTATTATAAAGAGGCAGCTTTGAAGGTCTTTAGCATTTCAGATGCAATCTCTCTATCCTCATCAATTTCCGCCATCATAATGTTCTTGTCCATCCTCACTGCACGTTATGGAGAAAATGATTTTCTTGATTCCCTGCCCCAAAAGTTACTGTGGGGTCTTTTCATGTTGTTCCTCTCTCTAATATCGCTGATGGTAGCATTTTGTGCCATTGTTTATTTGGTGTATGCTGACAGAAAGGCGGACGGGATACCATATTTAGCGGTTATATTAGCTTTAGTGCCTTTGTTCATGTATGCTTTTTCGCAATTGCCCCTTTTAGGGCAGTTATTCATTTCGACTTATTGTCCTGGAATTTTCCGGAAGCAAAACAAAAATTTCTTCTACTAAGTAATGTTATAAGTGAAATTATTGAAATACGCCTAAGAGTGAATGATTAGATGACATTAGATTTGCATCCTTTTATACTTTACTGATATTAATATTACCATATTTTCACCTTTTGTAATCAGGTGAAACATATGACGGTTGTTTATGCCCAGTTCAATATTGTTGAAACTTTTAGTGAAATATAGTTTTTATAACGCAACAGTAGCACGAAATGTGCACGACACAATTTAGTATTTCTATTGTTCTTAGCATAAGAGATACATAAAGGAGGTTTTCAATATACATCTATACCTTGAATAATTAACATCTGAATCAGTATTATGTTTTTATGATGTATCTCAAAACATTAATGTGTAAGCATACTTTTATTTGCAGCATCAGTTAATGTGTCTCTTCATTCGCAAGCATCTTCTATAGTAAAGTTCAATGGGCTTAATTATGCAAAATGGAGTGAACAAGTCGAGTGTCACTTAGGTGTACTCGATCTTTATCAAGCACTCCTATTTGATAAGCCTCTTGGTCTTACAAAAGATAGCATTGAAGCAGAAAGGTCTATCCATAATGCTTGAGAAAGATCAAATCAATTGAACTTAAAGTTTATGCGAATGACAATTGTAAGCGACATCAAATCTACATTTCCTAGGACATAATCTGCTAAGGAATTCATGAAACTTGCTGAAGATTCATCTCAATCTGAAAGTGCTGACAAGTCCCATTCTGGGACATTAATGGCTAAGTTGACTACCATGAAATATGATGGTTCACGTACTAAGCACGAGCTTGTTACTGAGATGTCAAACCTAGCAGCCAGACTTAGGGCCATGGGAATGACAGTGGATGAAAGCTTCCTTGTTCAATTCATAATTAACTCTTTACCTTCTGAGCATGGTCCAATCCAAATTAATTATAACACAATTAAAGATAAATAGAATGTGACCGAATTGGAATTGCAAACAATGCTCATTCCGGAAGAGAAAAGACTTAAGAAATAAGGAGTCCAGTCTGTCAATCTTGTTGGCTCATTAGGAGCAAAAAGAATACCAAGAAAGAAGTATTGAAAGGGCTCTAAAAGACCATTAAAGATCAACGAGCCATCTGCCCAAATCCACCAGAAGTAACGCAAGAATGATAAATGTCATTTATGTAAGAAGCTTGGACACTATTAGAAAGATTGCCTGAAACGTACGGCACAATTTGAAAAGAAGGGTAAGCCTAGCGCTTTAGTATGTTTTGTATTAAATTTATATGAAGTTCCTTATAATATTTGGGGTACTGATTCTAGTTGTACCACTTACATTTCAAATACATTATAGGGATTCCTTATGACCCAAACCATAAACGCCAATGAAAGGTTTGTGTTCATGGGGAATAGAGTCAAGGCACAAGTTGAAGCCATTGGAACTTACCATTTAATTTTATATATTAGACATCATTTGGATTTATTTCAAACTCTTTTATGTACCTATGTTGTCACGTAATTTAGTATCTTTGTCTAAACTTGATTTAGAAGAATACTCTTTTAAGTTTGGAAATAAATGTTTTCAGTTTATTCAAACATAATTGTCTTATTGGTTTTGGTGTGCTTTGTGATGGTTTAGATAAATTGAGACTTGATAATTTGTTTGTTGAAACATTATTGACCTTGCATTATAGTATTGGAACAAAATATTCCCTTGTGGATGAAAGTTTTGCTTATTTGTGGCATAAGCGTTGGGCCACATATCAACAGAAATGATAAAAGATTAGTAAAGAATGAAATTCTGATTGATTTGGGTTTGATTGATCTTGGTATATGTGTAACCTGTATCAAGGGAAAACAAACAATGTCTATAATTAAGAAAGCAGTCGCAAGAAGTATAGAGCTCCTTGAATTGATGCATACCAATATTTGTGGACCTTTTAATGTTCCTTCATTTAGTGAAAAGAAATTTCCGTCGCCTTTATTGATGATTCTCACGTTATAGGTATGTCTATTTGTTAGGGGTATGCAAAACTAGATATTCGACTTGGTTTGGGATTTTTTTTTATCTGATCTGGATATTCGGATCAGGGTAAAACCTCATCCGAAATCTTATCCGGATTTTAGAATATTCAGTTTTTCATATCAGATCCAAATTTAACGAAAAAGTTTATTAAAATTAAATAATTCCTCAATTCTTCAGTTAAAAACCCACCTAACAAGGAGTATAGTTTGAAACTCAGCAGTTTTATACACAAAACTGGAAAAATAGAGCAATATCAGAAACAGAACTGGAAAAAAAAAAAAAAAAACTGCGTAATGCTCGTTCTTTTTTTTTTTTTTGAAAATTCCATTGTTATAGAAAATCAAGCTAAAGCAATGTAAGTCTCTAAAAATGGTTGTAGAAAAGAGACAAAAACTACACAAAAAATGCCATTAAAACGCAAAGTTGTAAGCCTTACAAAAAACCCATCATACTAATAAAAAAAATGTAACAATCTAAAAATAGAACCAGTAACAAAAAAAGGTCAGATCCAAATGTATTGAGCTGAAAGAAAGAAAACCCACCAACAAGAAAGATTTTTGAGGAATTTGATGATGATGATGATGATCTTGTACCATTCTTTACAGATTATTGTCAAAAAAAAAAAAAAAAATGGTTTCTCAACAACTTGAGATAAGAGAGAAGAAGAAGAAGAAACTAGTGTTAAGGAGTACGTCTGCACTAGCTTGGGATTTCTTCTCTCTATATGAAAATAAACATTACCCAGTTCTTAGCCTTTAGGGATTAGGGTAATAGGATTTCTCAAAATTTACCTTTCAAATTTGAGGGATTTTGTGATTAGGGCCTAACTCACTACGGCTGGCTAACTGTAAACGAAAGAGTGAGAGAGCTGAGGGGGTGGCTGGGTAAGTAAAGATGGTGATGGTGTCAACTATTGAGAGAGTGAGATTGACAGATTGTATCATTGTAGTGGTATGTGTTAACTGCTAAACAAATGGGGAAATTAAAAGGGTGTGTTTAAGTAAAATCCGGATATCCAGTTGTTTAGCACAACTGATCCGATATCTAATCTGGAAATTCAGATTTTCCAAAAGTGCAATCCAAATCTGATAAGGATTTTTGAATATACCGTTTTTCCAAATTGGATCAAATCCAGATTGGGTTGGATATTGGATTTTTTTGCACACCCGATACGTATTTGTTAAATAAAAAATCTCAATCAGTGAATATTTTACAGGTATTCATTAATGAGGTTGAGAGACAACTAGGCAAAAAAGTGAAAATTGTATGATAAGATAGAGGTGGTAAATATTATGCAAGATATATTGAATATGGACCATTTTCTAAATTCCTTGAAGGGTGTAGCATCTGTGGTCAATGCACAATCCAAGATGCACCACAACAAAATGGCGTTGCAAAAAAGCATAACCGTACATTAATGGACATGGCTAGGAGTATGATGGGTCAGTCTTCATTGCCCTCATCATTGTAGATGTATGCACTAAAGACCGCTATGTATTTATTAAACAAGGTTCTTAGAAAGGTAGATCTAAAGACTCATTTTGAACTAAAGGTAGGCAAAAAGGGACCCAAAACCCGGTCCCAAGAGGGAGGAGGGATTAGTCCCAAGCCAGTCCCTCCTCTAGGGCTTAGGCCTGGGACTGCTTCCAAGCCCGATCCCAATAAATTTTAAAATGCCCCTCACCTAATTTTGAAAACCCCCTGAAAAATATCCAAAACCCCCTATAACATATGAAATATATAATCAATTTGTGGGTTTACATGTAATTTTCCAAAAAATGTTAAAAAATAATTGACTGTTGCTCAATGGTCAAATTGACTGTTGCTAGGGGGAAGGTGAAAAAAAAAAAAACTTTATTTTTTCGCACTTTCCCCCCATGCCTAACCTATAAATAACCCCTAATTCCACCCATTTTCCTCACAACACTCAACTCTCATTCTCTTTACTCCAATTCTCAAACTCTCTTCAATGTCATCGATTATTCAATTTATTATTTATATTTATTCATTATTCAATTTCATCTATTATTCATATTATTATTTATATTTATTCATTATTCAATTTCATCCATTTTAGTTATTGATTATTATATCATAATGGATTCCCCAAATTATGGATTTGGAGGATCATCATCCCAAAATGAGTATTATGTTCTAGTTCCTCCATTCACCCAAGAAATGGAAGGGTTCAATCCATTTTCACCATTTCCAAACGCAACAATTACAAATCCAGACATGGCTGAGACTATGTCCAGCCGAAAATAGGCGAGCTGTAACCAGATGACAAGACCGATGAAGAGGGCTGTATCTAGGGTATGGCAAATTTTCACTAAATCAAAATGGCTAAAGGCAAATGGGTTGGGGGAAGAGATGTGCGGGGTATGCAATTTTTGTTAGACCACAATCGGTGTTGAGAATGAGACTTCTACAATGAGGCGGCACCTAGAGAAGAAGCCCCCCTAGTTAATGCAGCATTGTTCAACTTCAAGCAGAATCGGTGAGAAAATACAAACTCAACTTAATTTTAATCTACAATCCTCAAGTCTCTCAAATTGGCAATACAATTCACTCACAACATGAAAGGAAGTAGCAAAATACATAGTTGCTACATACTCTCCAATTTCTTTATCTAAAAATGTATTTTTTGTTGATATGATCAGAAAGGTTTTTTGTCCACAATATAGGCTTGTTAGTAGAGGTACAAGTAGAAGGGACATAACAAAACTTTATACTAAAATAAGTGATAAACTTAAAAAAGAATTTGAAAATTTTCAAAATATATCTATTGCACTTACTTCCGTCATATGGGTTGCTAAATTGAAAACAGATTTTTTGAGTGTCATAATACATTACCTAGATCATAGTTGAGGTTTACAACAAAAATGGATAGGTTTTAAACCATTATATGCTAAACATAGTGTTAGAGCAATCCATTTTGTAAATGTTGACTCTTGTAATAATGTCTATAATTAATAAAAGGTATTTTCTACATTATGTAATTTGTATTTAATATATGTTATAATGTATGTCCTTAGAATGGTAGAATCGTGATGAAGGTATCGAGTGCTTCAAATCTCGACAGTGAAGACCCTATGATCACATATGGTGGTTATTCTGGAAACATCTGTAGCCCCAATATTATTTTGCCTAAGTACACATATAATATGATAAGGCTATCATAGTATTGAATGACCTTGTCAAAAGATACTGACAGATCTCACTTGTCAATAGTGGCGGACCTAGGATTTTTGCCCGGGGGGGCCCCTCGCTCTGCCACTGTTTGCCAATCAACTAGTGAAAACATAAAAAAATAACATTCAATTCACAAGGAAACACAAGAAAATTGTTACGTGGAAAAACCTCTTCAATGTGAAGAGATAAAAAAACCACGGGAATCTAACGATCCACTTAAATCCAATATAATCAAAAAAGTTTACTGATGCGTATTTTTGACAAACATGCAAATGTAGTAAGTGCACTATTCACAAAAATTAATAAAGTGATAAGTAGAGTATCGTTCCCACGAGGATAGTGTTACTAAGTACCGATTTCTCTAGTTTAAGTCTTAATTGAAGCAACAATAAATTGGATTGTTGGAAAATTAACGAACTAAATACAATTTAAGAAAATATAAATGAATGATAATGTAATTAAAGCAAAACCCAACAACTTAACTAATTAAACAAAATGTTAAAAAAAAAATGCTAGGGTGTTAATTTCACCTAGTTACGCTAACCCAAATCATAGAATCTATTACCCAAGTTCTAATTTTTTGATTGAAAATGGAATTCCCTAAGTTGTAAAACATACATTCTCAGGCTATATTTTCCTACTTATCCCTATTAAGCTTTCGCACCGAACAAAATGAAGATTAATAGTTAAAAGTCTTTTAAGCTTTATGGAATTTTATATAGTTTTCATAAATCGCTAAACCTATCTTTAGCGTTTACTTAATCTACAGTATTTATCCCAAGAGGCACAATCACAAATCACTTCTCAGTCTCATTATGAACAACACACATTTGAATGGTGATTAAGCATCCAAAAGTCATTACGCAAAGAGATAAACACTCAATCACGAAATTAAAACTAAAAGTAAATCAATTCATATAAATTTGAATCATTGTATCAAGGTTACATCAAACCCTAGTTAAACAACTCAGTTCATACTCAAAAACAAAATAAAATAACAAAAACAAACTGAATCAAGATTCATCATTGAAAAACAAGCAAAAGATGGAGAAATTTTCTCTAATTTGAAGCCCAAATCTTCAATAATCTTCTCATTCCAAGAGCTGCCTTCCAAATGGCGAACCAAGACCCTTTTTCTTTCATTTTCGTGTTAATTTATACCTATTTCACTTAAGGACCAAGCCCTAGCAAGCCAAAACGCGTCGTTTTATTTTTCACATCTGACGCAGTTTCGTCGCGGCGAAGCTTTTTCCTTGCCACGGTGAGAATTTTTTGGGCTAAATTTGAGCATAAAAAAGTCTGAATATGGAAAAGTGTTAAACATATGAATTGTAGCCCTTTAAATTATCTTTCTACTCGTTCAATAATCAGTACAATCCGAGGTCTATAGCTCAAGTTATGGAAGAAATACTGAAGCACGTCCAAAGACACTTTTCTTCAGTTTCCAACGTACTGTTCACGACTTCAAGCCAAGTTTTCACCCTTGTCCAGTCAGAATTAAGGAAAACCCAAAACAGGAAAGTTGTAGCTCTGCTTCTTAGATTTCCAAAGCTTCTAAAATTAGGTCATTCTAAGTTTCCAAGCTCAAGTTACATAATTTAGGCTCAAAACTATCATTTATGCTCAAAATCATCATTTAGGCCTGTAAAGACAAATTAATAGAATTAGGTAGCAATTATGGTTCAAATTGTATGAGAAGCATCCCAAATCCTATTGAAATTCAATGTAAAATCATAGGGAAAAATAGGATTATCATTTACAACAACCACAAATCCATCAAAAATATTCTACACAAATTTAGAGTTCAATTACAACTCTAACAAAAGTAAAATACACAAAAGTATACAAAAATAAGGATTAAAATCACTCCAAATCAAGATCCGCATGTAAAAGGGAAGTTGGGAATTTGGGAGGAAAAACTTATATATAAAAGACAAAACCTAACTTTTTAATTTTTTAACTTTTAACTTTTTTTTTTGACCTTTTAAAAAAACTTTTCAAATTTTCATTTAAAGTTGAGGGCAGGCCTGGGCCTACCCTCAAGGGGCCTGGGTCCACCCTTGCTTGTCAAAGTTGTTTATCGATAACCTGGTGCAACACATGGGTGCTTGTCATAGGCAAGTTCATTGGATAGACCCACTAGAGGATTCCACATTGATGGTAACGCCAATATTTGTGGAATAAATCCTCTAATAGATGGTAGTGCATGTGATCCTTAGAATTAAGATCACCAGATTGCCTTGTGCACCCAACATAGTTCTATTCGTTCTTTTTTTTTTTTTTTTTTTTATTTGACTAATTTTGGTTCTGTGTTTTCATTTTTGTTTTACAGAGTCGATGTTTAGATCGTTTCATAGTAGTATAAATATGAGGTTTTGCTGGAATCAGGTGTCTCTGGGTTTGTCACAATCACATTGTTGATTCTATTCTCAGATCACTTTGTTCTGTAGAAAATTTGCGGTTTTGCCCCCTTATTAGTTGAAAGGTGTATGTTATCTTGGTGAGTTTCTTTAATTTTGGGGTTTTTGGGAAAATTGTAGCGCTGTGAAGTACTTTGTTTTTTTCTGTGACATTGACTAATAAGAACAAATGGAAAATTTGACAGAGAAGTTCTCCACTCTCAATCATAGTATAATGAAAATTTGAGCAAAAGTTTGCTGTAAGATAATGTAAGATAGTATCTCCTTACTAGGTGGTTTATCCAAAAGTTGAGGCAGAAAGGGTGCATAAGGTAAGGACCTTTGTTCATTGGCCTTTTTGGAGATCATGTTGCCATTTCATTTTGTAGTCACAAATTTCAACCCAACCCACTGACTCGCTGTAATAATGGAACTGTTGGCTGTAAAGAAAATCATATTCAATGCGTGTTTTACCATCAGCTGGACCATATAGATGTTATTCAGTTGCCTTATGTTGTCTAGTGTTTATCCACTTGCGATGGTTTTCCCTAGGAAAATAGGGACCTTATTATTATTTTTGCTTGCGGAGCTTTTATCCTATGATATAATTTGTTAATCTGTGGTCATTTATTCTCATTATTTTTATTTTTTGAACCTTCATTTTGATTTTCTTCTGATATTCATGTAGCATGTATGCAGTTAGTAATAAAAGAGTTTAGCTCTCTCTCACGCACTCTTATTTTATTTTTCATTTGTGTGAAATTTCTTTATAGAATCAATTTATCAGTATTTCGTTTTCCTACTGCTCTCTCTTCCCTTCTTTTTCCCTGAGTTAAAATTTTACTGTATAAACACCTTATTATCGTGAACTAACCTTTTCATGGAATTTTTCAAAATATTTTCCTTAAAAAGGCAAAAATAATGGATATCCATTTTCAGGGTGGAAATGTTTTTTCTTTTAATCTCTTTGAAAACTGTGTTTGATTGTCTCCATGCGTGTTTGTTTCCTGTTCTCCATTATCTCTTTCTTTTGACTGATTTCCATTTTTCTTCAGTGTGACATAAAATGTCTCGAAGGTATGATAGCCGGACAACGATCTTCTCCCCAGAAGGTCGCCTTTACCAAGTTGAGTATGCAATGGAGGCCATTGGGAATGCAGGATCAGCAATTGGAATATTGTCCAAAGATGTGAAAAGAAGGTCACATCTTGGGAAATTAATTTTCCTTTTGGGAGTCAAAAGTTTTGATTTGGTTGAATTGTTTATATGAGTGTGATTTGGTTTTTCTGGTCGTTTTTGTTCTGTTGTGGATGATTGTTTCTGTAATGTGTCTTTATGGTGATTGTATTTAATTTTTCTTTTTAAAGGGCATGTATGAAGGAGATCAAAAGAAATCATTGGAGGTTTTGATCAATTTGTTGAATAATCTTAGTGACAAGAAGGGAACTGTGTTTGATCAAATCTGGAATTAAGATTGATGTAATTTCTAAGAGTGCAACATGTGTAATTGAAAACAAAGGTGAATCGGATTGCTTTTATGTCATAGTGTCAATGATAAAAAAACTGTTTCTAGATTTTGGTGAAGGAACCATATAAACACTGTGAGCTGCGATAGTCAATGGTATTATAGTTCCTTTCATATGCCAAAGGAGTGCATCTTTTTTCTATAATTTTCTTTTCATTGTTTTTTCGAATATCAGTTTCCAAGTTATTTATACTTCACCCAACTAGCTATTTGGTGTTCTTATGATGGTTCAGAGCCCTGTAAGACTAATAATGATTCCTTTTCTTGGAAATTTTTTGATAAATTTCAGCAACTAATTTATTGTCCATAGTGAGCTAACACTTAAGTGTGAAGGTGTTATAATTTTGGATCTTACTTGTTTGTGAATTTTGCTGCCTGGCTTTGTTCATGTTGCTTTTTTCCAACTATATATGCCTAATTTATCATGATCAAAGATGAAAGCATAGAACTTGTCTCTTAGTTGTAATAGTTTAAGCTTCTATTTCCCCCTTTTGAGCTAAGAGTAATCTAGATGTTAAAATGGTGAATGATTTTCCAGTGGCCTTGTCACGTTTCTGACAACTTAGTCAATTGACCCTTTATAGAAGACTAAAGTAAAATTCATGTTTTATGCAAAAACCTCATTGCTTTGTAGTCATCTCTCTTTGGTGACAATATATAACCAACACTGTTGAATTAGCAGATGCAAACTTCTTGGATTCTTTGAAGAAACGGGTTGATCCATAGTCAAGAAGGACCCTATTTATCATAAGTTGAAGACTATAGCTATCTCAATAAACCTGCTACACAACTTCTGTTGCAATGTCTTTGTTGTCAAGATTACGTTGTCTCATATATCAGTATTATTTACCAATCTCAGGGAGCTTGGTGTTGCTTGTGCAGGTACACATACTTGTGGATAATCTGGATATTGCAAATACAAACTCTGTTAATTTGAGGGCTGCATTGTCTGCTGCTCTTCTTCTCTTGCCCTCCAAGTTCACACAGGTTTGCTTACATCTTACTGCTCATTCATTTTAGAGTTGCTAGAGTTATGATAGGTCTTTTATTGTGCAGGAAGATCTGTTTGCCAAAATATGTAGCCTTTCATATATGGGAGATTTGCGTATGCTTTTTGCAGAGGACAAAAACAAGGTACAGCTTGATCACACCTATATAAAATATTGAGAAAATTGATTTGTGGCTTTCAATAGCTTTGATGTGCATAGTTCATGGTTGACGCTCTCATGTTGTGAATTTTAAGAAAGAGTCCCTCTCTTCTTCCCTCTGTTTCACTCATCAATATATTACAGTTATGTTAATAATAAGAGTTATACAAAAGTGAACAAGCATTTCTCTTGTTCCCTGAACGTTTCTGGTTTTCATGTATAAAATTTGCCTCAGGTGAAAAAGATTGTGCAAGGACATTTTGATTTATTCCACTCAATGTATAAGCCATTTCTTCAAGAATACAAGGCCAAAGACTTCTTGAGAGTCTCATCATCTGGAACTGACCAAGCAAATATATCACAGGTTTGTAAAATTTGAATCAGTACCCAAATACTTGATTATGTATTGGCCTCATACCAAATATGACATATATATGTACAATTTAGCATAACGTCTATTTACTCTTGTTACTTTGAATCAATTGTTGATAAGGGCACTGTTTTGCATCTAACTTGGTTTTTATTTTTATTTTTTTAAATTATGATTTCTCCATTTTCAGTTCAATGTTCCATTGTTTACTACATATTTTGTTCTGGTGAAAGTAAATTATTTTTTCATGATAAATTTAAGAAAAACAGTTTTAAAAACTTGTTTTGTTAAGGAAACTGTTGTTTGAACAGCGTTGTTCTCGTCATCTTATGCTTCAAAGCGCCAAGTTCTTATATGTGTCTGTTGCTTGAATCAGGATTGTGGCTTGCCAGTCACTTGCTCCCTTGTGTCTTTTCTTCCACCAACAATTAGAAGTCAAATGGGGATGAAGCTTGGAGAGAAGAAGAGAATAAATGAATATGGTATGAACTTCAGCTGTTATCCACAGATTAATAGCAAATATTATTTTCTGAGGCAGTGTACAAATTAAAACTGATTCTGCATCCAATTTTCTGTAAGAGAACATGTGATCGAAAATTTTCATTAGACCTTCTATACTTAATCCTGGATACTTGAATGATTACATAAAATAACATTTTGCAGGTCGAGCTATAAATGAAGTCATAATCGGTTCAAGAGAAGAGGCAGCTAAATGCATACAGAAGGTTCTGCGACGAACCGTGATGGTTTCAAGTGCAAGACAGGCAGTGTCTGGTCTACTTGCTGTTGGTGGCATCAATGCTACTAGATATCTTGCTAACAAAATGCAGAAAGCTTGGACATCCTGGACATAAAACTACCCATTTCTCTTTCTCAATTTTCATGAGATTTGGTCAGGTAGATTATAACTTTCAACATGAGAATGCATTATCTTTACCGCAAGCTGCCCTGCCCTGACTGTAAGTTATAAATTTTGCAGATCAACCAGTTTTATACTTCCATTTCGTAGTTGGTTGTTCGTTTGTTAAGGTAATTTTGGGGGCAAGCAAGCCACTCCCTTTGTAATGAACAAATATCAAAAAGAAAAAAGAAAACACCATTTAAGATACTTTGAATGGGAACAAAAATAACCAAACAAACAGTAGCATTATCCAGTACAAACTTTATTAACATGAATCCAGTCATAACATAGGGAGAAGCATATCTTCCCTTGAGGTTTCATGAAATTATTCAACACACCCATAAGTTTCAGAAAATAATAAATACTCCCACCGTAACTGTCCATGACACAAATAAAAATAAAAACATCACAATAAGCAGGAATCGGAATTGAAACGTCTTGCACTTACGCAAGACTTTTGACAGAATCTCTTGACAGAATCTCCAGAATGCTGCAAAATAAATAAATAAATAAATAAAAATACAAGTTACAGATTGAGTAAAAATGTCAGAGCTAAGTATTATATTGTTATCAAGAAAATTCTTGGTAAAATTATATTCCGCAAACGGGTTTCAAAAATCCAAATATCTTTCTTTAAAAATCTTCCTACAGGATACCTGAAAACTGACTGGTATAATAGGCATAATCAGACCTTGTTGACATTCAACATCAAATACGAATCACAAAATAAAAGATATAAATTGGAATAGTTTACACAGTTTATAGGAAGGATTTATACATTAAATATCATAATAAATGATCACACTTCACTGATCCATGTAGTATAGTTTACACAGTTTGAATTAAAAAGGTAGCAGAAACAATGCACATGGAATTGGACACTACAACAACAAAGCATGAATCCCAAAATTATAAAAATATATTTGTAGCTTATAGTGGATGCCAAGAATACAGCATATCCTTGAATTCGGTAATGATTATAAGCTATTTGGGAAATAGAAATAATCAATTTTTTCTTGAAGGGTATGTTCCATCAATAACATTATAAGCTAGCTCATATATATAAACAATTTACTAGGCTTTATAACAATGAAAATAGGAGAGATTTTTACACATACCTGATCACTTATTGGTCCCGGATGATGATAGGAACTGCAGGGTCAAGAATTAGAAATAAATTAATTTTTTCTTGAAGGGTATTCCAACAATAACATTATAAGCTAGCTTATATAAACCATTTACCAGGCTTTATAACAATGAAAATAAGAGAGAGTTTTACACATACCTGATCTCGATGATGAAGCAATTTCAGGGTCAAGATGAATGTTCTGGACATGATCAATGTTTGACCAATTCCTTCTGCAGCTGTCACTCAGGGTAGGAGATTTTTGTATCTTCAATTCTTTAAGGGCAGTGAGTTTCTCCATCCCGTGTGGCAGAGATGACAATTCTGAGCAACTTACAATCTCAAGTTTTTGAAGTGATGTGAGATTTGTAAGCCATGGTGGCAGCGTTGTGAGACTGGAACATGAATCAATCCGCATGTACTCTAAAGTGTTGGCAGACGTTTGAAGAATCAATTGGGGTAAATCTACTGTTTTTTGTAGTTCATAAATCATGACTACTTTAAGGTTCAGGCGGCGGTCTTCTTCTTGCAAGTCCATCTTCAGATTAAGGTTTGAACAACTGTGTATCACAAGCTTCTCCAATCTCTCTAGATATGTTATATCAGCTGGCAACGAATATAAGCTATCACAACCTTGCAAAATCAATGTTCGGAGGTTGGTAAGACTTTGCATCTTTCCTGACAAATTTTCAAGATGGTGACAGTCATACAAGTGCAGATATCGGAGAGAGGGCAAATATTCAAGTTCATATCCCAGTAGACTCCTCGCATTTGTGGTTATTTCCAAATATCTGAGGTTGATCATTTGTTGCATATTTCTAGGAAACCTCTTAAGACTTGAGCAACCAAGAAGTATTAAGGTTTGCAAACTCTTAAGTTTACAAATTGCCTCCGAGAGTTCCACCATAATTAAATTCCAAGATAAGTCAAGATATCTCAATTGTTCCAATGACCCGACAGAATCCGGTAGCACTTCAAATTGTAAACCACTTAAGCATAATAGGCGGATCTGCTTAAACTTCGATGTCCAGCTATTAACGAAGGATTCAGTAACAGGCTGAAACGGAGAACTTTTCATGATGATTGCCAACAAGGATGGTGAAATATTTGACAATTCTATATCACCGTCTTCAATTCCATAAAATGACAAATATTGAGCCTTTATTTTAGAATTCATAGCTCTGAGATCCACCCTTTGGCAATAATTTTCTGCCTCATTTAGCACAAAAGAATGCATAAATGTGTGCATTTTAAATGTATAATAATAACCATGATTTACCACATCTTGAAAGAAATCCGTAAGAAATAATTCCTTCAAATATCCCTCCCCGATATCTTCCAACTCATCGTTATTATCATCAAATTGAAGAAAATCTTGCGCCATCCAATGACGGATCAGATAATGACTGTTAAAACAAAAACCCTTTGGAAATAAGGAACAATGCTTCAAGCATATTTGCAAACGAGATGGCAAACTCTTATAGCTTAATTTCAACATGGGTAGGATGTTTTCATTCTTTTGGATTTGCCTCCAGAAGTCATTATCTTTAATTAGCAACCAATTACCCGGATCTGTGTATTGATATAGGGTTCGTAAAATTCTCACTACTAAAGGAATCCCATCACATTTTTTCACAATTTTAATGAGGTCTTGACGTTCATTGTTTTCTCGATCTCCAAATTCATATTTCAAAAACAACGACATACTATCCTTATCGGAAAGACGTTTTAAAACATGAGTGTCAGTGGTGCCCATATAGTTTGCAATTTGGTTGGTAATAACCAAAATTTTACTTTCATCGGCTTGCTCCTCCAGTACTTTCTTGAAGTACGTCATATTATACTGATCCATATACGAGACGTTGTCCAAAACAACCAAAATTTTCTTCCCAGACAATGCTTCTGGCAAGAGGGATTCCAAGTGACCCGATGTTAATTTATCAGGATTTTGATTGGTTGCAAAATTATAAGTGCGTTGCATCAAGATATTTATATCAAAGGTCGCAGGTCCACATGTCCACATTTTGAGATCAAAGTGATCATCTATCCTTTTGTCATTATATACCAGTTTGGCTAAGGTGGTTTTTCCTATACCTCCCTTCCCAACTATAGCAGTCACAGATGAGTCACTGTCTTGTCTCAGCAAAGACTCTATAACCTCTTCCTTATCAGCGTCTCTTCCGACAACTTCGGAAGGATCCACGAAGGTATCACTGTTGCTTACTACCCAGTCCATCGGATAAACCCACCTAATGTCAGGTGCATCCTGATCACCGTCACGCATAATAGTAGCTGCCATTGCATCTAACCGTCTTCTAATCCCCTTGATCTTAAGATAATATATGAAGCTCAAAATGAATTTGCATACCTGGGGTCTGTCACTTGCCAATTTATGCAACATATCCGCAGCAGTATTCAACAACTTTGAAGAGTCTGCCAGTCTATTCTGTGCTAGCTGTGTCTCGGCATCCAAGAGTGCGTCTTTGATGTTGGACACCGTTTCTCCGAGCTTCATTATTTCTTTTGGAAGATTCCTCAAAAACCATGTTTTTGGGGAATCAAGGTTCGTTATCGTCTCCAAAATATTTGTTGCAATACTGGACGGTAGTGAGTCTGCCATGTTTCTTTGAGTGGAAGGAAGAAAAACAGGGTACAATATTGGGTAATGAATTAGCTGAGGAGTACAACGTGAGAAATGATGTTTTTGACTTCGTACGAGTTGTTAATATCGAAGTGCTAATCTCATAATTATCTTTGGTATAATTAAATAACAAAAATCTTTTTATAGATATAATAATAAAAGAAATCTCCTGATTATCAATTTTTTATTAGTTTAAATAAATGATTGAGAAGAAGGTAAATATTTATTAACTGATCGTGGCATTTGGATTATATATTATTTTATTATAAATATATATTATATTAACGAAAAAAAAATAACCTCGAAGATTATTGAAAATTTTTAAAGAATATGTTTGGTTGGTTTGAATAAATTGGTGAATAGTATGTTTGATAAGGAGGATAAATGGATGGGTATGTTTTATAAATTATTAAATTGCACTCCTCTTTAAATATTAATATAATAGTATTTTTTATTATTGTTTTTTAAATAATTTTTTTAATCCCCTATATTTGAAATTTTCCTAAAACACCCCAGTTATATAAAACTTTAATTTATAACAAAATCATCCCCACTCACCCCAAGCCATTACTGGCAGCTAGCCACCACCGCCAACCGCCACAGACAGTTGACGGAATGGCTCACGGCTAGCCATATATGGCCAGCCATGCGCCAACAAAGCCAGAAATGGACATGAATAACAAATCCATGGTCGAAAAACGGCAAGATCTATGGCCATTTCATGGCCAAAGTTATGGCCATTAAATGGCATATGGTCATGGAATGGCCACATATCTAGCTATGAAAAGGCTAGATCTTTGGCCGTGCCATTTCATGGCCAAAGATCTAGCCTTTTCACGGCCATAAAAACGCCAAATCTGGTTGTTTCTCCGAAAAAGGCCTTACCAGCACACGACCAGCCAGATCCCACCGGTCGTGCACCATTATGGTAACTGACGCTAGCAGCCGGCGGTGGTCTTGGGTGGTTGTGGGTATTTTATTAACTTTTAAATTTTTTTATGTCTGAGGTGTTTTAGCTAATTTCTCAAATATATGGGGGTTGGGTAATTGTTATTTGATAGACATTTGAGGCAATTGTGTCCGAAATGGTTTTTAATTAAGGGCAAAATGGGTAGAAAAATCATATTACCCCAATAATGTTTTAATAACATCCCCTAACAAGATAATAAGATTACCTCCCACATTACCAACAGTAAATGCTATTTGCAATAAAAGATTACATTAATATTTTATTACTTGCAAACCAAACACTATAATCTTTCAAAATAAAAGAAGATTACCCATGTTATCTTATATACCCCCGATTCAAACGACCCCATCATGTTATAAATTTTAACAGTACATTAATAACTTGCTAACAATGAAAAGATTTATGTTATTTTTTAAATTTCAAGGATAATTTTGTTATTTGATTAAATTTCAAAAGAGTCAAGATCAAAACTCTTGTATTGAAAGACGACAACTTCATTTCCAAGCTCACGGGGTGAACCGTGGACTTAAAATAGAGCCCAAAATGGTTGCAAGATTTTACTATAGGGTGTTTGGATCATATAATGTTTTATTATAGGGAGATATTATGTTAACGGAAAGATAGACCACCTTGAAGATTACTAGAAATGTTTACAAAATGTGTTTCATTGGTTTGATGAATAATATGTTTGGTTGAAAGGATAAATGGGTGGGCATGTTATATAGATTATTAAATTGCCATCCTTTTTAAATATTAATATAATAGTATTTTTTATTATTATTTTTTGAATAGTTTTTTTAGCCTCCTATTTCTCAGATTTAGCAAAAACACCCCAATAACAAAAAACATTTTAAACTTAACAAAAATACCCCTACCTACCCCAAGCCACTGCCGACAGCCAGCCACCATCGCCGGTAGTGCCACAGATCTAGTCGTGAAATGGCCAGGCTTTGGCCGTTTCACAGCCAGATCTATGGCCGTTTTCGACAATGGATATGTGATCCATGACAGGAAAATGCCTCACCGGCACACGGCTGGTCATATCCGATAGGTCATACGCCATTATGGCAACTTTTGACAGCCTTCGATGACAGTCGAAGGCGACTGGCAATGGTAGCCAGATCTGGGTACAACAACATTTCGTGCATTTCTATAAATAATGACAATAATAAGGGCAATGTCGTCCAAAAAAATTTAAAAAGTGAGGACAAAAGGGTTTGCATGAGTGAATTAAGTGTTTTGTAAATATTAACAAAGGTTAATTTGGAGCAAATGCTCAACTGTTTAGGGGCAACATGGGACACAAAATTGGATTACCTGGGGAAAGTTTTAACAACCAACCCTCCCCGGAAAAAAAAAGCCACTGTTTGACATATTTGATTCCGAGAATAATTTTTTACAAATCAACCAAACATCGTCATCTGCCTCCTTTAAAAAATATTACCCCAATTATTAAATATCACTCTCATCCAGACACAGCCTATGAATTAGAATCCTATTTTGATATGAGCTCTCTTGAGTTTTTAAAAATCTCATGACAATTGTTCATTAATGATAATATTTGATTATGATTTGCTTCTTTTCAATCAATTGCCAATCATATCCCTATATTTTGTTCAAATTAAAATCAGATCAAGAAAGGATCCTGATCCATGTACGACCCGATAAAACTATTATGCTTATAGGGGGTGTTTGTTTGAGCTTATGAAAATTAGCTTATAAGCAACAAGTGCTTATAAGCTAATTTTAGCTTATAAGCATTTGAAATTTTAAGCAATTACGTGTTTGGTTAAAATACTTATAAGTGACTGATAAATAGTTGATGTGTTTGATAAAATGTAGCTTATAAGTACATTTTATTACAAAATGACTAAAAATGGTACTACATTAAATAAGGGTATACTATAGAATTTTAAAATTAAACAAAAATAATACGGTAATATACTTGGTCAAAGCTTATAAGCTAAAAAAAAAAAAGTACCTCCCCCCAACTTATTTTTTTTTCTTATAAACTCAACTTATAAGCTCAAAAAAATCATAAACAAACAGATCAGCTTAATTTTAGAACTTATAAACTAGTTTGATCAGTTTATAAACTTAGACAAACACTCTTATAATCTAAGTATACAAACTCTTATTTATTACTCTCATAAAACTCTTTAAAAATCTGTATAAACTCATAATGGTTAGCTCATAAAACTCTTTAAACTCTGTATAAACTCCTAATGGTTTGAACATGTATCAATCTTAGTTAAATATAGGGTCATTGATACACATCCACGTATCTAGTCTAGTATATATACATTCATTAAATTCAGCCTTGGGATTGGGAGGCCGGCCACTATTTCTTTCAAAATTTAACAGCAAAATCATTATATATAAAAGTGATATATGTACATGCATCCATGCCTCAGAATAGTTTCTTCAGATTGGGATAGAATGTAGAAAAAAGGTTTGCCGGCTGGTTGAAATAGTAATACGACAAGTTTTAAAGAGATTTATTATAAACAAATCTTAAGTAATTGTAGGAGGGAATATTGTCACTACATCCATCTAGATTTGCTGCAAGCCCTGATTATGGATAAATTAGTAATAATTACTCTTACAAAATTTGAATTTAAAATTAAGTATACAAAATAATACGATATTCAACCACTTAGGTTGTCGTAGTAGATTGCTTGGTTTATTCGGTTTTTAAAATATTCAATGAATCATAGAGATTAGTGAAGTTACGCGCAAATTAGTTTGAACACCCCAATTATTAAAATAATAATAATAATAATATGATAGTGACACATTTCTCACCTTTATTTATCCAATTTTTCTATTTTTAGAATTTTTTTTTTTTTTTTTTTTTGGATGATACTAAATTTTCTCTATATAAGTTAATCTGGAGCTTCATCTTAAAAAACAACGAGAAACATATATATATATATATCTGTTGTGAGTGAATACTGAAACGACGTCGTACTGAATTAATGGAACGGTGTCGTTTTGAGACAGCTCCTGGATGATCCTGACCGCTGATTCAGAGGAAAAGCCAATAGCTGAGATCAAGCCTCCAGTCAACACTATAAAAGGATTAGGGTTTCCTGTTGTAACAGTAGATCAAACAGAAAAAGGTTGAGAGCAGTTTTTTCGTTTTCTTAAGAAAAACTAGGGTTCTTTCTTTGGGTCTGATTTCTGTGTAATCTGTGGGTTTCTTGAGTGGTTGGGTAATCAATCAAGGGAAGAAATACTGTGTTTTGTTATAGGATTTCCAGGTTAGAGGAGTCCTAGGGCAGATACGGGTTCAGATCAGAGTTGTTCGATGGGTTTCTTGGGTGTCATTCTTTGTAATCGTGACTGTTATCAGTTTGTCTTTAATCATAGTGCAGCGAACTCCTTTTCCAGAGTTCAACGTGGATGTCGCTTGCTCAAATCGGGCAGTGAACCACGGTAAAGATCCGGTGTTATTGTTTGTGGTTTTCTGGTTTCTTGTTTGTTTCAGTTTACATTTTAGGTTGTTTGCATAACAGTGGTATCAGAGCCGTCGTCCTAGGGTGAATCTTTTTGAAATCGTTCAATTTTTTGACAGATCGAAAAATTTAGGGTTTGCTCGAAAAATTAGGGTTTCTTAGATTTTAGGGGTTTCTTCTCAAAGGTTCCTAGAGCCTTAGAACTTTGATTCTTACTAAGTCTTGGGGTTACTTTGTGAGATTAGAATCACAGACATGGTTAAGGAGAGTAATCTTGGTCAGTGCCATGAGTCTGTACTTGCAGTGTTCTCTTTCGGTTGCTGTCAGTTAAGGGTATAAGCTGGAAACCAGTGACCGCCTTAAAAACTGCTTGGCAATATTTGGCAACTTCTGGTGTAACAACGCCACTTACTCCTAGACTGTATCACACTGTCTATATAATACCATGAGCACTACACGTATGGAGATCTCCCAATACGATGGGAAGATCGATTTCAAGAGTTGGAAGAAGAAATGAAGGCTCGCTTTCACATAACAAAGTCGCCCTTGCA